CTTAGCGGTTAAGTGTGCGTGCTCCGCTGCTGGCGACCCAGGTTCGGATCCCAGGCGCGCACCCACGCACCGCTTCTCCGGCCATGCTGAGGCCGCGTCCGACATACTGCAACTAGAAGGATGTGCAGCTATGACATACAACTATCTACTGGGGCTTTGGGGGAAAAAATAAATAAAATTATAGAAAAAAAAAAGATGGGAATTTTGCTTCCCACACAGCTGCTGGAGAGGGTCTGATGAGAGAATGGGCCTGGTGGACTCACATGGAGAGGATGACTCGGGCAGGAGGACTTCATAGAAATATTCATGGTTGTGGAAACAGGGAACAGAGATGCTGGGAATCTACATGGTGGGGTCTGGGGGTGAGAACAAGACTCAGGCTTTCTTAGTGTTGGAAGGATGATATGGGATTAGAGGAAAGGACATAGAATGTCACCTTGCCAGCAAACCATTGTGCTCTCCTGCCCCTCACAGGGACCTCAGAAGAAGATACCCTGCTTGCTCGTTTTTTATTTATTTATTTTTTGCTGAGGAAGACTGGCCCTGAGCTAACACCTGTGCCCATCTTCCTCCATTTTGTATATGGGATGCCGCCACAGCATGGCTTGATGAGTGGGGCGTAGGTCTGTGCCTGGGATCTGAACCCGCGAACCTTGGGCCAACGAAGCGGAGTGCACGAACTTAACCACTATGCCACTGGGCCTGCCCCTGCTTGCTCGTTCTTGATTTTCTGTGGCCCGCTGGGTGAACCTCTTAGCCACGGGGACTCCCCGCAGCAGCAGCAGGGGTCATTTCACAGCCAAAGGGCACGGGTCTGCTCTGGAGACCCTTGTTCCCATCCATCCATCCAAGAGCTGGCCTGCAGACCAGGTGGGCCGTAGCCTCCCTGCACTAGAAGGTCTAGGAGCTCGAGACTCAACTGACGCCAGGTCCAGCCCCATCCCTACCTTACAGGACATGTAACACACGCAAGTTGCTTACCCTCTTCCTGCTTGTTTCTTCACCTGTACAATGGGGACCATAATAACTACCCCCAGGGCTGCTGTGAGTCAGTGAACTATGTGACGTTACCAGCGCCCAGCACAGAGAGTGTGTGAGTAGTAACTACACAGGATACTAGTCTCACCCATGGGCAACACCTCCAGCATGAGGCCCACCAGTCTCATGTTGCACTTTCCGAGTCAAGGCGAGTGAGGGTACCTGCCCACTGGACTCGCCCACACTGACTACATTTGCACCCCGAACCCTCCAGGAGGCCTTCCTTCCTCCCAGGGCCACCCAGGATGCTAGTGCTCCACCTGAGTCCTCCCACTGCACTCTGCACACCTCCCTCTGCATCTCACTTGCTGTGTTCTGACTGTGAGCTCCTCAAGGGCTCAAGGAAGCTCCCCAGGCTTCCTGTTCATCTATCACCATACCTGCCACATGGCCCAGCCTCCCAGACAGGAGGTGAGGGTTTGTTGGATGAACATTCTGAGGACCATAGAAGCCTCCTGTGGACTCAGTTCTCTTGCAGCTGACACATCAGCGAGCTGTACTTTTATGAACTGTTGGAATGGGGATGGGGTATTTGTCCAGGACATTTGGGCTTGAGTCAAAATGATCTTGGAGGCGAACTCAGTATAAGGGCACATGGAAATAGGCCTGGGGGATAAGTGGCATGGCTCACACTTTGACATCAAACAGGACTGTGGCCAAGGGAAAGCAGACCCAAGCAAGACCCATGGGCAGAGATGTAAGGAGATGAGAAATACCAAAATGTGGGCCATCCACAGAGCCAGGGGACAGAGCTCAAAGAAAAGGGCTGGATTAGTTCCACTGCCCTCTGGCAGACCATGTAAGTAGACACATATTCCGGATGTGGATTTGCATTCTCCACGCATAATGCTTTTCCCAGCATGACGATCCATGGATTCACGAAATGCCTTATTCACCAGCATGATATTCTACATATTACTTTTAATCAAGAAACTCATTTCACAGCAAATGAAGTGAGGCAATGCGGCTATACCATGTAATTCACAGGTTTTACCACATCCCTCTCCACGCAGAAGCAGCTGGATAAAGAAAAGAGTGGAATGGTTATGGCGCCACATGGGAGACAATATCCTGAAAGGACACGGTTCTGTCTTAAAGCTTGCAGTAAACGTTTGCATGAGTTGTCTCACCCATAACCAGGATTCGCGGGCCCAGGAATCAAGGAACAGAAGCAGGAGTGGCTCCTCTCACCAGGCCCCTCAACATGGACTTCTGGCAGCACGGAGGTCTTGGTTTTCAGGGGAATGCGTCTATCAGGGGACACAGCGATGTCTCCATTGGTTTGCAAATTGAGGCTCACCTGGCTATTTTGGGCTCTTGGGGACACTGAACAGACAAGCGAATAATGGGATTATTCTACTGACTGAGGAGAATTACCCAGGGAAAATGTGGGTGCTGCTACACAATAGGGGTAGGGAGGACCATGGCTGCAACCCGGAGAATCCTCTAGGGTCCCTCTTAGAAACAGCAAACATGGAATGGGGAGAAGTGTAACAAATAGAGGTTGGACAATTAATCCAAACCCTTGAGGAATAAAGGTTAGGATCAGCCATGCCAAATAGACTCCTGACCAGTGGAGATCCTGGCTAAGGGGAAAGGAAATGCAGACTAGGTGGTGGAAAAGGAAGTTATAAAGGTAACTCAGCCTCATGACAGTGGCAGACTCCACCTCCTTGATTGCTGTGTGTACACACACACGCACACATAATTTTCTTCTTTCCTCATTATTTCATCAGGTTTTGTTGGAAGTTAACTTTACCCTTTAGTCTCTAGGTAGCCTTCTGCTATTCTATGTTCCATTCAGATGAGACTGTGTCTGGAGTGGAGTCACCACGGCCCGGAGACCCACACAAGGACTGCTGAGCCTGGCATTTCCTCAGTCTGGGGAGAGGTTAGGAACATCTCAGCAGTTGTCGTATCTTGGGCAGAAACAGAGCTGCTTTTGTGACACTACTGCAGTTCAAGTGTATGTAGAAGGGGGCATATAGACGCTGGGGGCATACAGAGTGGCTGAAGGGGACTGTCCCACTTACTAAGCTCTTGTCTCTCAGCTTCACACTCACCATTTTTAACTCCGTTTTTGTGACACTGGGCACAGAACTCTGCAAACACTTCTGCTTGGCCAGCTGCCAGACCACTGGATTCTCCCCCACGGTGCACTGGAGGGACACTTCGCTGCTGGAGGAAGAAAAAGGGACGTGCTCCTTCCTGTTCCCATCAGCATTACTCCAGCCTCACATCCTCACCTCAGCACGCCCGCACAGCCGAGCAGAATCCAGGCGCCACTTCCACCCAGCTCAGAACCACCTTCGTTGTGCCCTCAGACACCAGCACCAGGTGAGCAGCATCCAGCCTCTGAGACAGCACCTCCCAGAGTTGCTACCTCTGATTTTTCAGTTTTCTTTTTGCCTCTTTAGTGGCTGAGTCAACAATTTTACTGTACTGTTAAAATAACTTGATTGCTTTCTGTCTCCTTTTTGGACCATGACTGATACGCACAGAAAGGAAATTTCTATCTATTGAAAACAGAGTCTCAGGACTGTATTGTTTAAATCCTTCACAAACAGCACCTGAGGCTCTGGACAAGTTTCATCCTCCCTTGGTGTTTCAAAAGGCACTGATCATTTGTACGTCCCGTATCCCATCTCTGGGCTAAGCCACTTAATCTAAATAAAACATTCCAAGCCCAGGCTTGCAGTTATTTCTTACTTCAAAATCTTAATTCTTTGAGCTTCCTTCCATTCCAATATCCCTTACCCTCAGTTGAGAAGAATTAAAATTAACTATATTTTGATATAAAATCTTAAATTGAGTTTTGACAATGATTAATAGCAATTAGAGAATATTCTTGTAATGCATTTACATCAGTGATACTGGCATTGTCTGGACTACCCCATATATTTGTTCTGGAATGCATTTAAAATGAAGACCCATGCACTGAAGGGTAGAATTAGTAGCAGCAAACTCCCAGCATCCCCATTTCCCTTGCATTAAAGAGTCCACAGGCTGGTTCTTGCTGAGTTTCCATTTATTACTGCAGTAGACAATTGCTCTGAAAGTGCATCACTAAATCACTCTTGTCTCAGCCTCTGCTCCTCCACCGGCAAATACTCGGAAATTAATTCTTGGAGCACCGTGGACCACAAGCTTCTCTCTGGGTGGAAAACTACTGCCACTGCCAATGTCAAAGGGAACACACACGTGCACACACACACAAATAGAAGGATAAAATGAGAAGAGCACTGGAGAGGGGCAGGGGCCAATTTCTCATGGAAAATTCAGCAGAGGGGCCATGGGAAAACAGCTCGTCTGTGCAAAGTAGAAAGTGATTCCATCTCCCACAGCACTTCACGTTTGTTAGGTTGGCCCTGGTGCACCTTCTTCCCTTTTGTCTCTAGAACAGGTGACGTCATAACCATAACTGTGTCACAGCTCAGTGGAGCAGGGGTCCATGGAGTCAAAAAGAAATGAGCAGGTCTCTCAAGCTAGTCTGGAAGATGGGTGGTTTGGATAAACTGACTCGTCCATCTCCTGTTTAAGGCTGTCAGGCACAGTATCGGGAGAGCTTGTGGGGGAAGATGCTGCCTAACAGAAACAACTCTTGTTATAACCAGCAGAGGGTCAGCATATTTTTGATGGGAAAAATATAACTTTCCAATACTGCAGTGACAAAGAGCAGCTCTAGAAAACATAGGAGATTAAAAAATCGGAACAAATAAGACCAAAAAAAAGCAAAAACATGAATATGGACAATACACCTAAGCACTCGGCCTGACAAACCCCTCACTTATGAACACATTACGTGCGCGCGCGCGCGCACACACACACAGACACACACAGACACACACAAACACACATATCAGGAAGAGGCCCAAAGGAGGGCAAATCCAAATGTCTGCTCTCTTTGGAATTTTCACGGCAAATCTTGAGTTTGGGCAAAATGAAGAGCTCGCTGGGGTCTGAGCACATCTCAGGAGGCAGCCTCTGCTCCCACTGGAGCCCACGATGCTCCTGGACTTGCCGGAGCCCTTCACAACTGTCTGGGCACTGGAACTCATTCTTCGTATTCCTGGAGTTTAAACCACTGCTAGACCTTCTGCTCCGCTCTAAGTTCCTCTGTAATGGAAGCACCTCTCTTCTGGCCCCTGTCCTCCCCCATTCTTGTAGGAAAAAGCATCCCAAGACAGTGGTGCTTAGACGGTGTATAGGAGTTGGAAAGAGGAAGAGAGTAATATAAACACAGTAAGGAAATGCCTGTTACTCTCTGCGATTTCTCTGAGACCAGGTGGCTACAGCTCCTGATCTTCAAGGAGGTTTTAGGAGAGGCCTTAATTTAAGGTACTGCGATCTCTGCTCACGAGAGCCAAGTAAGACAGTGCTCCTTGGAGTTGCTGTAGGGCTCATACTCAGACTTGTTTCAACTCTGGGTGCCCTTTGGACCCGCCTGACTTCAGCCCTTCTGCAGTCAGATCACCCGGCTTCTCTGATGCGTGACTGGTCATTTTAAAGCGTGCCTGCAGGGGCCTGCGAGAGGTTTCTGTCTGGGCCTCCTGGACCAGCACACATTTCCTAACATATATACCCAGTGATGAGGACTAAAGGCAGCTTCTCCAACCACTGCAGACAGGCACAGTCATGCAAAGAAAGCCATCCATCACAGTCACCTTTTCTACAGATGTCTCAGTTTCAGGATCATAGAATTTACCATATTAAGTGTTAATACCTGGCAACAACCAGCTTTTGCTTCCCTTCCTTACTGAGGGGCACGCAAGAACCCACAGAAACAGGCTGGACACGCAGGCCCTACTCATCTGCGAAAATGGTTTCAGACACTGCCCTCAGCTCCAAATCCTGCACTTGGAACCTCTATTATAATCTAGCCCCTAACCAAACTGGATTCTGCTCCAGTTTAGTTTACCAAGGCATCCCTTCTAAGCCGCCTCAGGGAAACCAGTGCGGCCCACTGGATTAAAATAAAATTCTAAGTGCAGCAGTGCCTAAGAAGGAAAGAGTCCCACAGGAAGCAAGACTGCAGGGCATAAGGCAGGAGACTATACAAAATCAGTAACACAGTTTCAGAAAGTGGTGGGCTTGGGGAAGAGGGGAGAGAAATAAACAAAAGGTCCCAATAATTTAATGGCAGAGCTAGAAGAGAGCATTTATAGCTATTCCGGGACTCTCCAACAAAAAGCTTTTCCTGGATGCACATTCATAATACTGATAACTCAGTTGACAGCTCTGGCTGGTACACGTGGTCACAATGCCTTTCGTACAGCAGAGAAGAGCACACAGAATGCCCGAGGCATCTGGACAGCACACAGCAAAACAAAAGGCTGAACTCCCCCCACAGAATCCCATTAAAAAAAAGTATGTCTATCACAAAGTCACGTTTTCCGTTTTTCCGCTTTATAAAGTCAGCGATGCTGGAGGGTGTCTAGCGGAATCCGTCCTCCAGGAATGAGTGCAAAAGGGGAGCACACGGCTCAGGGACGTCCCTTCAGTGAGCAGATGGAAGGACCAGCTGGAGACCTCCCATCCGTTTTGGACAAACACACACATACAGAAAAGGATTATTGCCAGCTTGTGTACTTTCACAATGTGATTTTTGTATTTCGAAAGCTTGAATTGTCCCTGAAAAAAAAAATGGGAGAAAATAGAGCATTCAGTACACAGATCATCTATGGGCAACCACACACATACAGGGACACACCCCAGGAGCCTCCTTCCTTGCTAATCTAATGCCAACACAGCAAACCGCCTCCCAAGTCCCTTCAAACACTTCCACTCAACTGTCTGCAACAGCCAAAGATTAGCAATAACCCAAATGCTTATCAATAGGGGACTGGTTAATATTAATGTTATGGCACATTCAACAATGGGACACTGTACAGCTTGAAAAAAACAAGACAAGGAAACTCTCTACTAATATGGAAAGATCTCCAAGAGAAATTGATAAGGTGCAGAAGTGTGTGTGTACATAGTATGTACATAGTACATATAGTTTGTACATAGTGTGTGTAAGTCGGGGGTGGGGGAAGTAAGTTCCTATTTGCTTGTATATACACAAAGAAACTCTGGAAGGCTACACAAGAAACCAACAATAGTGTTACCTGGGGCAGTGGTTTGGGAAGGGGGCACAGAAGAAATTGGGCAGATGAAGTTAGAGTGAGAGGGAGATCTCTCTGTTTCTTACACACACATATACTTAAAAAAAAAACTGAACCATGTGGTTGTATTATGTATTCAAAAAAAAAAAAAAAACCAACCAACCAACAACTCTTGATTCAAAACTTACAACTGCTTACAAAATGATATTCTAAGAGGTGAAACTTGGGTACCCTTTCACTTTAGAAACTTAGCTGTAATTCCTGAAATGGAAGAGTGCGCGCGTGTGTGTGTGTGTGTGTGTGTGTGTGTGTGTCTAACAGATCCTAAGATGTGTCCTCATAGTTGCTTTCTATTGGATATGGGCAGGCTCGGCCACCCACAAGTAACCTTTCCTGCTCCACGCTAGAAATCCAACAACACCTTGGCAGGTCACACTACCATTTGAATCCCAAAATTTCAGGGCTGGCAGGTGGTTTAAAGGTTACCTCATCTACTGCTCTGGCCCAGAGCTTCAGACTTAAATTTGTCTGAAATTTTGAAACAGAAACTCTCATTAACATGATTTTTGAGTCATTATTTCCTTTTCATTTTAATGAGATATTTTAGAAGCGTTGCCTTTAACTGAACTATCTTAAAATTGCTACAATTGATAAGGCATGTGGCAATTGGTCCAGAGTAAATAAATACTGAGGAAGAATATGCTCAGCCCAGCCAAACAGCAGTTTCCTCCTGCTGTTGGCTAACAGATTCTCCTCGATGATGGTGGCAGGCTTACAGTAACTAATAGCCCTTCTACACAAAGAGAATGACTGCAGACACGTAACTGAAAGGGACTCTAGAGCTGGTGTAGGTGAACTCTGGCTGGGAAGAAACTGGTGCTATCTCAGAAGCCCACTGGCATTTTGATAACTGACATGCACCACCATGTAGCTCATTTATCAATGGCTAATGAGCATGTCAATGATTTCTGTCTAAGGAGTTGAAGCCTGAACACCAAGAGAACTTAATGGGGGTGATCATCTTTGTAAAAGGCCTTTCAAAAGGACAGACCCACTGAGGTGCCACAGGTGGCCAGCAAAGGAAGATAAGGACCGTATCTGATCATGAGACAGAGAAAAGCAGCCATAACTGACGTGTGTGTGCTGCTTCTGCGTCCCCTTAAGGACGATGTGCTGTAGTGCTGAGTCTGCATGACAGAGGACACCTCTAACAAAGAAGTGACTAGCAAGGAATAGTTTGCTCTGTTCCATTTCTTCCCTTTTGATGCCATCTCTATCCCCACAGAGCAACTGGACCACAAACGTCAGTCAGCAGGGAGAAGTAAGACGAGTGAACGGAAAGGCGAGGGTGAGAGAAGGTAGAATGGGAGAACTTGCTGACTAGGGGAGAAACACCTATCTTGGAATAAGAGAGATGGCAGGCAAGTATCCGGACCCAGTCCTCTCAGCTGCTTAGTGATGTAAAGAGAATTTTCAGGTTAAGTCATCACCATAAGCAGGTCATCTTATCTTTTGGAAGAATTCCTGGACTGTGCCGGGGTTGGGCCAGAGAGAAATTCTCTCTGTCGCAGGTAAACTGAAGAGTTCTATAACACTTTGCCACTCAGATATTTAATATTTATTCTAATTATTTCTATTGTCATAGATCTCTTCACAGTCAGAAAGCCTAAAAGGTCACAACTATTCCAAGGTCTATGTGTAAACTGGAAAAGAGGAGGGGAAGAAGAAAGGAGCCAGGAGAATCCAGCCAAGTTTTTCCAGAGTTTGATCTCAAGGAAAACAAAGAGCAACAAGGGTGGGTGATGGGATCCTGATGGTGACAGGCTGAGCAGGCTGTGGCAGCTGGTGGCTTTGGTCCCGCCTTTCTAAAAAAAGTGGGTTGAGAACAGCTTGGTGCCAAATTTAGTCTGAGGAATGTGTTCACCTCAAACCAGCTGGGAACTAATCCTCAGTTATATCCCTCACTCCAGGCTGCAGTGTAGAGGGATTAGGACACAGGGAAAGGGAGAATGTGGACAGGATGTGGCAGAGGCGATTTCCATCTTTTTTGAAAAAGATCGGCTTCTGTCCTTTTAAAAGTAAACTAAAGTTTAGAAAAGCCAGAGTGAGTTCCTGAAAGCCAGCCCCTCCAGCCAGTCAGCAATGCTGTGACAGTGCGTGAATTCTCAGGAAGGGCTTGTTTGTTTGTTTTTGTTTTTTCAATGATGTGACAGATCTTTGAGAAGGAAATAAGGACATTTTTACATCCTCATCTGCAAATTTATGTAAATATGCAACTGGGACTGAGCCTAGTGTATTGATTTAAAATGGCTTTTCAGACATCAATATTTCTACCATATCTTAATTTATTCCAGAGCATTTTTGCACTCCAGGGCACAGGACACGGAGTCGAAAGACCCACAATGCTGGAGGAAGTCAAAAGGACTTCCTCTACTGGATGACCCTTCGTCTTGATAAAGGGCCTCAGAAACACCAGAGCCCCATCCAAAGTGGCTTCCAACTTCACATTCCCAGGCATCTTGGGGAAACTGCTACCCAAATACTCTGAAACAGCTTTCTAATCTGCTCTGCCTCAAAATGATTGCCTTTATGTACTTGTAGAGAAATGGACAAGTTCAAACTCTGGACAAGCTAAGGCAGAGGTCAGCTCCTGAGGGTGGACACGAGAAGAGCAGGTGGTCAGTTCCTCCCGCTCTTGCGGTAACCTGCCACTGTGCTGGTGCCCAGCAGGAGCACCCAAGTGATTCTGGGTCAAGGGAAAGCTGCAAGCCACTGAGGAGCCCTCCCCGAGTCTCTGGTCTGAAAGGGGCTCCGTGGGTGCACTCACAAATCAGCTGACAGGCTTAAGTACACATGGTCTTGAGGGTAACATGCTCTGGCTATCAGCTGGCCACCCCAGGCCAGCTCTAGCTTCCTCCTCTCTTCCTCCCTGCATATTACATAAAACTGCAAACTCTTCCTAGGTTCAGTGGGGCAAATTTCAACCTCTAATCTCCCACGCAGCGACCACGTCATCTTCATTCCCCAACAAAACAGACCACTGCTCTGTGCATGCCAGCCCAGACATATAAGGAACCAGAATCTACCCCTAACAGCTGGCTGGGACTTCTACTGAGGCCATGGTTAAAAGGGCAATACTTATTTGTAATGGAAGTCAAATGAAATAGTCCTAAGATATTCACAGCCACATATAATGGCATAAAATATCAGATAAACTGAGTAAAAGTGTTTGTGCTTCAAGAATTATTATTTAAATAGCAGTTTTTCTTTCTTCATGGATCATGATCTAGGTGGAAGGGGGAAAAGAAAAGGGAGAGAGGATGAGAAGGCTGAAGTGTTGGGGCCTCTAAAACAGCAGCTCACACACGAGCCAGGTGTATGCATCTTCTAGAACACCTCTTTCACCTCTTTCAAGGTTAAATCAACAAAGACCAAATACGAAGTTCTTTTCAAGTCTGTTAAGACAATGAAGTGAGTTGATGTTTTTTGTTGTTCAGACTCTAATACTTCTCTTAGACTTCCAAGTCTGGGCTTCAAGGAGAACCTCGAAACCATGAAGTGCTCCCTTCATCTGCCAGATAAATACAGTGTGTGTGTGTGTGGGGGCAACAAAAAGAACAAAGACTATAAAATGGCAATTATGCAAATCTACAACATTCAAAACAATTAAAAGATATTTTTCCTGGGGGATTTAGTGTTAGCTAAGGGGAGAGGGAATAATTTTAAGTTTTCTTCCATTCTGACTATTCCAATTTCATCTTAAAGCCTTTTTTCCCCCATAGAACCTAAGATGCTATTGATTTTTAAAGGTACCATCATTTTATGTACTTTAAGAAGTAAACACTGCCAATTAAACTATGACACCAACCTTTCTCATCACAGTCACTGTAAGCATCCTGATTTGAGGGATATTAAAAGCAAAAAAAAGGGATTTTAGAAATAATTAAATATGGTAATGTTATTAAAATAATTCCATTATAGCACCAGGCCTCTGGAAATTTAACTTATTAATTTATTTCTAGTATCTGCTATTTCTCAGCCTGCAAATCAATGGATCCAATATTAGAGCCGAGGCCTGTTTTCCACCCTCCTTGTTATACTAGCAGCCATCTCAGAATTCTATGGTGACTATATTTCAAAGAAACCTTTTAAATTGCAATTTTAAAAATCTAGTATTATCATCTAAAAATTCAACTTAGAATAAAGGAATTAAACTATTAAAAAAATATATAAGTGCCATGTTCCGTGTGGGCAGGGATGCAGGGACTGTTTATCCCCCAATTCTATGGGCTCCACAGAGTGCTCAGACCCCTGGCCACCTGCTTCTGTCCCTCACAGTGTCATCCTCTCTTCTGGCCCATCTAGGGATGCAGGTCTCCTTTTCTTGAAAAAGCCTTACCTCCTTCCTGGGAAGGGGCGTTCTGAAGGAGCTACTTCAGCTGACATGTTCTGTTCCAGTTTTAGAAATTCTCTATTTCTTAGGGAGGGTAGGGGGGAATTAATGTTCAGGAATATGCTCGCACGTCAGGCACATGCAGATCACATCCTTTCATCCACCCTTCTCATCCAGAATATTACCCAACTCTCTCTGCTAAACAGACAGGGACTGGGCACTCTCTTAACTGAAATACAAATGTTCTTAAAGTGAAGGCTTCAGTGAATTCAGCCTTCGGGATCCCAGGGCCTCTCCCTGCCAGAAAACACGTGACGGTCTAGTTACAGAGTCCAACCTGGAGCTACGCCTCCCAAGCAGCCCTGACGTCCACCCCCGGTTCAACTTCACTGCTGCAACCACCACAGGAACTCACAACTGACAACCAGCAGCAGCACACCAGAGACATACCCCTCACCTCACCCATACCAGGGCCTGTGTAACTGCCCGGTCAGTCACAGAACACTGCCAGATGGCTGAAAAATGGCCACGTCTGGGCAAAAGAAAAAAGATTTGTGGGACATTTATAATCACGAGATGCTGGTATCAGGAGAGATCTGAGACATGTTAGCCCAGGGAACCTCATTTTCCAAAGGAGAAAACAGAGGTACCTTGAAGTAAAGCAATGTGCCCGGGGTGCACCAGGAGATAGGTGACCCAGGGAGGACGGTAACCCAGCGGTTCTGGACTCAGTGTTTTTCTCTGAGACCGTGATAATCAGTCAAAGAGGAGAGGCCAGAGCAGGCCCAATGTTGGCAGAGGCAAGGCTATGGGTCGACGGGGAGAGGGCGTCCCTTTGGGAAGGGGGGTCCTATGGCTGAGAGGTATGTTGCAAGGTTACAGAGAAGATAGACAAGGCCCTACCCTGAGTGTGAGAGACAGAGGGGGAGCGTCCGATCAGCGGCCGCTGCTGTTCACCAGGCCATGAAACTCCTCCCAGGCCCTGGCAAACCAGAGACAAAAAACACAATAGCACATTCAGATCAAAAGCTTTTTTTAACAAGGAGAGCAGACACGATAACCCCACACCCCATCTCAGACACCCTCCAGGTCAAGCGGAGCCCACTGACACCCAGCACGACAGCAGGGAGGTCTCCCACCTAGACTCTCCTCAGCTCAGCAGTGGGGGCCAGCACCTTTTAGGGGCAGGCGGCACTTCTGGCTCGCTCCACTGGCGGTCTGGCCCTCACTATTCCCTCCAGGACTTGCGAAGTCCTTCTGTCCGCTCCTTCAACAAGTCTACCAGGGACGGGAATGAGGTGCGAGCCAAGCTCAACCATCACTGGAGACACCTCCAATTAACTGGAGCTAAGGGCAGCAGCGCTTTCTGCCTCGGGGACGTGAGTCCTGCTGGTAGAAACTATCTTTCTTCATGACGCCTCGCCCTGAGGGCAAAGGCAGGTACCCAACAGCATCGTGATGTCCAGAGAGGCAGTGGGGAAACTACACCACTTGCACTGCTTTCGCATTTCTTACCTTCTGACCCTTCTAACTCAGACTCCAAATTTGTACTGGGCTCCCTCTGTTCTGAAAATATCCATATAACTATTATCTTAAAATTTAAGCTGTGTAGATCACAGCTGTTCAAGATTTCCAGGGAACAATGCTCATTACAACTTTCATGTTGATTAACTCAATTTAGAAATTGGGATTAGGAAGGGATAAGAAATGTGACTGAGGGGTACAGTCTCTCGGGGTGGTGCTCTACGAGGAACAGGCCCTTGGTGACCGCTGGCCAAACACCAGAAGGAGAAGAGCAGATCCCCCACACCCCTGGAACCTCTAACCCACCTCCAGTTTTCTCAGAGGGGCTGATCTCCTACCTTTTTGCCTTTTTCAGCCCCATTAGGGACAAGGTATCTGGTAAGTTCCCTGGGAATTATATATAAAATGGGTAATTTGGTGCTTCTAAATCAAAAATTCCTTATTACCAGTTATTCCATTCTCAGTTTAAAGGGATGACACTACCCAGGGTGACAACATATTGCGCCACTCACTACAAGTTTAACATATGGCCACTGAAATACACTTCATTACCAGGCCTTCTACAGCTAGCTTTTCTTCTTCTTTTACATAGAGACGGATTAAATACGGACCTGGCACAACAAATCCATTCTTCCAGGCAATGTTTATACCAGTTTCACTAGTATTTCACTCTTTTAAACAGCAGCATTTCTAAGTTAACGATCTACCTCTGAGAATATGAGGTTGATTTGCAGTTAATGGTTTCTTCAGAGAGGATTACCAACCCTACTAATAGATGCTAAGTGAATTGAAGCAAAATGTTAAGACCGCCAAACCAGCGTGCCAGTCTTTGTCAATTCAAACTCAATTTCCACAGCAACACATCTGTTCCACAGCCCTTTCTGGAGAGATGGTAACGCGATGAACTTTGTGAGTCCACGAGCGACTTCAGAAGGCCATTTCACTCTTCGCTTCAAATGAAGACAAGGGCAAAGCAAAATCCGATGCTTGGGCAACGACCCAGGAAACCCCTCTCTCATTCTAACAGTAGATTTAAACTCTATTTTAAGCAACTTGAGTGTCAACAAGAAAGTACATGGCTGTGTTGAAGCTTCATCTCATTTATCCTTTTGTTTCCAAAAAGGCCTACACTAGTCCAAACAGGGCAGTTCTGTGCGCAGAATCTGCAGAAATATGGATTTCAGAGTTCCCCGCTAATCCATTCCAGTATTAAACTGCCCTCTCATTTTCTTCAGAAGTATCTTCTTCATATGTTAAACCTCAACATGAAGAAGTTGGGTAAAGAAATCTCCTCACACGGATTCAGTGGAAATAAAAGAGTTGGTCACAGCCACTGATATAATCTCTTATTCTCGTGGGCCAATGCTTGGCTAAGAGGCAAATCAACCATCTAAAGCTAGGTGTGAATATTTTAGCTATTTTCCATCTGGCATCCCAGGCATATTAGGTAATATTAAAACTTGCTTTTATTAAAGGTAAAGAAAGAACAAGTAAAATGTTAAAAGTGTCATATGAATGGAATTTCTAAAAATAATAAAAATTATCCAGAGATGAAAATAGCCTACAGGGGATTCTGAAACAGATTCAAATGACAGAGTAACAAAGAGTCTTAAAGACCACTCTTGTCCTAGCTCACTTATCAGAAAGCAAATTCTGAGAGCAGAGCTCTCATACCCATGAAACTCTGTATTTGCCCCCACCCCTGTCCAAAGCCTGGTTCACAGCCCTGCACTCAGCCGGCCCTCAGGGCTCATGCACGAGCTCAGCTCCTGCTAGTCTGGGCTCTCTTTACTTTGAACATCAGTGTGGGAGAACATTTCAAAAGCCCAAAGCCAGACCAGCAATTATGCTGGTGATCCAGTGCCACCAGGCTATGATTTAGCCATGACAGAAGAGATGGCCGGTCCTTGCCTACAAAGTTCAATGTTTAAATAAAATGAAATATGGACGTGGTAAAGGAAGGTCCCCACAATTTGACCAGTATCTCCTCTAGAATAAAGAAAAGTTACCTACCCTCAACTTTCTCTGCAGAGGGGTCTGGTCAGTCTCCCCAAGACTGTGGCCCACTGAGTGAAGCTGGCTCTGTCTTCCCCTTGTCCATCCCAGGCCAGAGGCACAAACGGACTCAATGGGGCTCTTTCAAAGAGGAATTTCCTCACAAAAGACATTGCTGCTTCATGTGGCTCTGTGCCCAAAGTTTTATCCTGGTGGTCCCATGATTCTGGGATGTAAGTCTGGCTGTGTTAATGAGATTTCTCCTCAAAATGGAGGACTCAGTGAGTCAAGTGATGCTTGCAAGGACCCAAACCTATGAAACCTCAGCAACAACTGGCCTCATTAAAAGGAGCCAGGCACCTAAGCTGACACTCAATTTAACAAGTTTCCCATTTCTTGGTGGGCCCTGTTCACCCTTAAGGGTGAACTGCTGGCAGTAAACAAGGGTAGGAGGCAGCAGGCAGGCAGCCCCTCTGCAGCCAAGCAGCTCATCACGCATCGTGTGCAGCAGCCTTTGCCTCTCAGCTCACCCAGGAGTGCCGTAGGAAAGGCCACAAGCAGTGTGATCAGGGGAAGGCTGGAAAGACCAAACAGTTGAAAAGGACACTGGAAACTGGACTGAACGAGCAAGGTGGAGGCACACCTGACTGAGAAATCTAAGCCACGCCTAAAGACATTCTCCTCACCATTTCCAGCAGCCCTAATCTCCAGAGTACTTGGGGGAGAACCACTGCTGGCTCTTTCTTCCTTCATTTCCCTGGACTTCTCAAGTCTCTGCAGCCGTGCCTTGGCTCAAACAAAACCATACCTGTTGAAGACCCACAAAGAATAGAACAAAGCAGAACAGCTCTGACTTCTGTTCATACGTGGCAAGGATCAGAGGGGTCTCAAGGTCAGTTTGGTGCTTTCTGATCCACTCTTACTCTGGAAAGTGACATCAAGCTCATCCTCGGACCAGTTATATTAGCTAAAATTAAGGTCCATACATGTAACATAACAGTAGAAGGCAAGTGGGAAAGGGCTATAAAAGGTAACTGACAAATGCTGGAAACATAGAGAATAGGCATTTCCACATACCAAAGAATCTTCCATTTTCTAGGTACTTTAACCAATTTTAGTTATGCAATAAACAAAGAAGCAATGACACAAACACCTCCAGAATGTTAAGCCCAGGGTACCAGTCCTAATGTGTGTTCTGTGGGATCCCAGGCCACGTGAAGACTGGCGGTCAATCAGGATGGTACAGGTGCAGGATGTCGCTGCCAAAATGGAACAGCCACTTTGGAAAACCCCACATTACACCCACAGTCACCTTCACAGATGCTATCAGGGAACCTGACTTAGTGTCTACAAAAATCACTCATTTTTGATCTTGGTGGTAGCTCTTAAAATAACCTAAAGTAACATGAGGCTTACTGAAATTCTACATGCAGGTTAGGGGCCTGAGGGCCAAGCCTCAGCACATACAAGCCAAGCCACAAAGCACAGAAGGGGCTGGTATGTGCTACGGTCAGATATCCTAAGGAGCAAACTCACGCAAGATGAAGACATTTCCCCACCCTAGTTCCTAATGTACAATAACCCTGAGGACTGGGAGAAAGGGAAGGGCTAACCTTGGGACCTGGCAAGCAGGGCTAGCTCAAAGAGGAAGATGACTTGGCTCTAAAGGGAAAGCAGAAGGGAGAAGGCTGGCAAAGAGCTTGTGGCCTGGGCAGCTTTGGCACAGTGAGAAAACCCTGTTAACACAAAGCAAGGAAGCTCTAGACGTACAGCCACACACAGACGGAAGGAGGGCTTTAGCTCCAAGCAAGAGATTTCTTTGAAGTAAAGGCAAATGAAGTCAGCAAAACAAAGGCCAAGGATCCCCCTTTCCAACCTTAACAGACTTTCAAGCTGAATTCTAAATCAGGAATCACTCTGTTCCGGTTATCAGCGTGATTAGACGGGAACTAACATTCAAGTACCAGAAAATGGGGTCTCATTTTGAGAGCTAGATGTCACCTCATTATGTCAGATCACAGCAGAACTGGAACAAAATACCATGTGACACTATGTAATGGACTCATGGAAATGAGGCTGCACTCCCCGGATGGCCCTCCATGGAGAAGTCTGTGCCATTCCTTCATATGGTGACAGTCAGTCTGAAAGGCCACTTCTTTGATGCACCATAAAGAGCAAGAGCAGGAGACAAGCTAGTTTAGCACCATTTATTAAGTGATCTCAGCTGTTGTCGTAGCTGCTGCGTGTCAGCCTGTTCTTAAAACATAAAATGCTCTTCAATTCCTCTTGTCCAGAAGGATCTTCCAGGTAGCACGCCAACAGAACAAGAGACTCCGATGATGCCAGCTTCAGTGATGGTGCCATCCAGAGAGGGAGAGGGTCATGGCACATTCAACCGCGGCTTCCAGAGGTTTTGAAAAAGGAGCCTTTGGGGGCCCAGCCTGCCTGGCATTCTAGTGGAAGTGTAAAAGGTTGGCACATTGGGAAAGAGAGGGAGACGCAAGGAAAGGTAGCATCTAGGTGTCAAGGAGGGTTTTCTGGTCCCTGTAGCTGGAGTATTAGGCAGACCTCTGGATAAAGCAGCGAGCAGCAGACTAAGGCAAAAACCCCACAGGCTCTCCCAGACTCGGTAAGGATTTGTACATGTTTCTACAAAAAGTCAGGAAGAACTGCCTCAGGGTATTAGAGAGGGAGAACAGTGGAGAGGGGAGAGCTGAGAAAGACCTCTTTCCCTTTCCTATTCAGGTGAAAAGCTTGCTTTTGTGGGGCATGGGCCGGGGGCATTTGGGAGCCTTGAACATTAAGAGTCCTAGGAAAAGTAGGTGTGGAAGTCTTTAGCCTGGACTGAGTCTGAGGGCAGAAACTACTTCCATCTCAGAACAAAGAGTAGGATCAATATGCCTGGAGAAAAATAGCGCTAACCCAGGACTGCTAAGGCAAGCAACCAGGGCCATGGCTGGCTAATAACTGTTGGTGGCTACGATGAGTCACACCCAGCCATTTGATTATGGACCAACTCCTGTGGCAGTGTTCCCAGTTAAAAACTGGCACTCAGCTAGTTTAAGCCAACTCCACCCACAACATTATCTGTGAATGCATGGGAAAAAGATTCCCAAATGGTCTGCCTGCTCAACACTACCGTTGGGCTCGCTACTAGTCTTGAATAAGAATAACATGATAATGACATTATTACTGATGATGAGGATAGCAATAATAATACTTGGCCCCGTAAGAGCATTCTCCATCTGAGGACCTTCAATTACAAAGACTAAATCAATCCCACAACAACCCCGTTAGGTAAAGTATTATTATCCCCCATTTATAGATGGGGAAATTGAAGCAGAGTGGCAAAGAGACTTGCCAAAGGCACGTGTTGATATTGGAGTCAAACGACAGAACTAAACCTACAAGTCCAGACTCCCAGTTGGCTAGCTCTCCCTCCAGTTTTGAGACAGTCTAACAGCCACTTCCCACGACCTCTTCATAACAACCTGAATTTATTTACAACATTCAATCACTGAAGGAGCAACTCTCACCAGTGATTCTCATTTGTGATGTCCAGCTCCATCTCCCTGAGTCCTAGGTGGATGCAAAGCTCATTCCCCTTTGGCATTCATGCTTCCCCTAGATTCTACTCTCACAAAGACACTATCCTGCTTCCTGTACCATTTCAGCTCTATACACAAGTCACTGTTCCTGATAAGAAATCAGTCTCCCAGGACACAGAAAACAGACTGAAGCTAACAGGTTAAGAAGACATGCAAAAGTGGGGTGTGGGGTGGACAGGGAGGAGGACTTTCTTGTCCAGTGAAAGTATCTTAAAAAACAGCAAGAAAAAGACGAGTGCTTTGTCTTTCATTTAAAGACAGTGGTTAGCAAATGAAAGACAAGACAGCCTGTGTAAATAAAGCAAGCCCAGGCAGTGCAACTGGGATTCTGCAGAAGGGCTCTCTCAGATACAAAGCACCCCACAGTGTAGGTGGAAAGACAGCCTCGCCAGCAAAGAACTGCTACAAGTGGCCAGAAGCACTAGAGGGGAAGATTGGTCTGTCCCTTCTCCATAAGTCAGTCTCCTGTATGACCATATTCCTCTGGGCCCAAGACCTACTGCTGCTAAGCTTTGGGATATGCCCCCCCAAGCCCCCCCAACACGTACTTGATGCTGTCGGTGTGGGTTTTGTATTCCATAATGGTGTTGGGAGGTAGGTTAAGCACTCGCCGAAGTGTATCCCGGATTCGGGCTGTGGTTGCTTGGTCGCTGGCAGTCTTATTCCATATTGAAATAATGTCCTCCTATAGGAGGAACAGAAGGACTCATCAAAGCAAACCGGAGGCAGTGAGGAGAGCAAACGCAACACATGAAACCACACCTGCCCGTGGGGTGGCTTACCTGAAACCGGACAGAGACCACAGCCCCACAGATCTCCTCCCCAACCATGAACTGTTCCCCCAGCATGGCCAGGATGAGATTCTCCCAGCAACGGGATGCCAAGCCCTTCCGCAGCCGAATAATCCACTTGCCACCATTTTTATTTGCATCATCCTGTAAAAAGAGAGAAAGCATTAAAGTTAAAATATGGTTTCACAGCTCTTTCTCTTTTGCATTAAGGCAGTAAAATGCCAAGGATCCCTTGAACACTAAGAAGTGATGTCACTTTCCAGTTATTCAACTTTACAAGAAAAATGGTGATAGGACTAGGGAGAGAAGAAAATGGGGGGGGGGGGACCAAGGTGGGGATCCTTGGTACAAGCCATTATGAAAAATGGCTAAACAGACCCTTTAACAATAATCCTTTTTTTCTGGAACTACTTTAGAAATCAAAATGAAACGATGTCAAATTTCAAACACAGATCATTCCTCACTTCATTTGCTAAAAGTTTACCTAGTGTCACCATGTCCCAAATACAAAGACATGAAGCCACAGTCTCTACCCAGATCCAGTCTAGCAGAAAAGACAGACAAGAAAACCAATTGCAGCAGGAGTCTGACAAGTGCTGCTCTAACAGATATGCACAGTAAGTTAAAGAAGAACAGGACAGTCAGAAACACTCAAGAAGAGGAAATATTTAAGCTGGGTCTTAAGGGACATAGGAGTTAGCCAGGTAAAGCAGGTGAAGGGCTCTGCAGGCACAGGGAAGAACGTCTCTGCGCGCAAACTCTGACCGTGAGACAGAGAGATGCGAAGAGGAGGGTCTAGCCGCACTGAAGGTAAGAGTCAGAGATGGTGGGAGATGAGGCCTGCAAGGTAAACGAGGTGCAAGATCATGTGAGCCACAGAGAACTGTCTAAGATTTTTAATGGAGGAGGTGAGGGGGGAGATGTGATCATATCTGTCTTCCGATGATATCTGATGCCCTGGCATCAGAACAGAAGATGGATCACAGCAAAGAGATCACAAAGCTCAGCTTACTGCCTGTGAGCTTGATTTTCACCCACTTTAATCATGAATACTACAGTAGTACATTACACACACACACAACCAGTACTACAGGAATAGGGGTGATTTTTAAAAAAGCATCTTTTAATGTTGTTATAATGCCGTTTTAGTGATAACGCAATCTTTAAAAACCACCCAGACAAGCAACAGCATCGGTGCCTTTTCCTAGAAGTCCCAGTTCCAAAGATGTACCAGTGATGCAGTTTTGAGAGAAGACTTTAAAACACTTTTAAGCTTGGCAGGGATTAAAAACAAACAAAAAACTTGCTCAGAAAAGCAGTCTGAAGCCCTTAGTCCTTACCTCCCACATGGGTTTAATTCCTTCTTTGAAGAGATGGAAGTCACTGTGGCCTGTCAGGTCCCCGGGACGTACCATGTGGCTGTAAAACCTCCAGAACTGCTCCACCTGCAGAGAGAAGAGCCCAGAGCATAAAGGATGTGTCTTTTTCTTTGAATGAATGTGCGATTTATTTAAGTGAAGAGCATAAACATGGAAGACACTCTGCTACAGGCTACACTTTTTGGGGGATCTATTTTCATCTAGAAGATTCTGTGGGAAGGAAGGCATGTTAGAGCAAGCATATCGTATAGGTGGATAAAAGGAAAATGTAATATTGTTGATCCAAGAATAAACTCTTTAGGTGAGAATTGCCATCCTCAACCAGGAGCCTTAGGTGGTGAAGCCACATCAATAAGTACCCTCCCACAAAGGCTGCAGGATGATCTTCCATGCTGTAAAGACCTTGCTTTACAGAATTTTAGTCTTGAGGTACATCGTAAGTGCTAAATAACCTCAGCCTGAATGTATTTTTTAGAACCAAATCACTTCTTGATCAAGGACTATTTACTGGCACATACAGCATTAGCTACAACGAAATACACTTCAGTTCTGTTTAGTTTACTGAGCACAAATGACAGAATTGACCACACCCACTGCTCTATCCCCTGGTGCCTTTGCTAAGGCCGGGACACTCCAAAATCAAACAGGACTTAGCTTCTCATTTGCCATGTAAGTCCCTCTTCTTAGCTAGAAAATTCATATTTCTCCTTGTCCCTCCTTCATAATCCTGTCAGAAAACCAGATTTCTATTTCTCTATCAAATGTAGGCTTGTTTATACTCATTGTGCTATTCCTGTTTCCTTCGTTAGTGCCTTGACAGGAGAGATTCCTTCCTTGCTCCTCTGTAATTCACAGAGGACACCCACAAATTACTGGCCAGCCAAGAGGCACACTTTAGGAGGACAGAGAAAATGTGGAACAGTTTGAAGAAACAGTTGGTATTTGCTAACACACTGGTGAGGAGGCTCTAAATAAATACACAGCAAGACACTGTAATAGTGCAGCTGAAAATGGGTACTGAGCAGAGATTCAGGTCATACTTCTAGATTTGGACAGCAACCAAGGAGAAAAGACCTTACACTGTGTGAAACGGCTGCCCCATCAGTTCCTCCACAGAACAGAAACACGGGAAATGTCTCATGTTACAAAGGAGTCAGGAACGGGGCTTTGTTGCAGTGCTCCCTCTCAGCAACTGCTGTGCTTAACTGCACACAGCGATGTGGCACAGTTAGTGGTCATATGTATACAACGAGCAATAACCTTTTCCCACACTAACTCAGTTGAAAGAAACAAAGTACACCCACTTGAAACTGTGGCTCACTGTGAATTAGGAACTGGAGGGGTTGGTGGGGAGAAAGCACACCCACCATCCCCAATTCCCCAATCAAGCACTGCTTTATTAACAGTGTTCTCCTCCAATCTCATAGACAGACTACAGAATCTTATATCTAAACCATGAAAGATGAAGTAAAGAGCTCAGGAAATATTACTAAACTTTGAAAAGATTTTTTTCCTTCTCTCTAGGCAATTTTGGTTTTTGAAAGTCCTAATTGAAACCAAAAAATAAAAGAAACGTTCAGACTCAGAATATCAGGTGCAAAAACGACCTCAGAAAACATCTCAACTCCCTTCCTCATTTTCTAGTTGAGAAAATGGTTTCAGAACTTGCCCTGGCCCACAAAGCCAAGCACCAGAATAGACGAGCCTTGAGATCCCCAAGTCCAACGCTCTTTCCATTTCACGACAGTCTTCTTAGTCACCCTGATCTCAAGAACTCTTAAATGTCAAATATGAGGATTAAGGAGCACTGGGAAATAGTGGTTTGGATTTGATAAAAGGTTTCACAATGTAATCATTTCTCTATGAGGAATTTAATACTGTAAGCCATTTCCTAATGCCTTAAATTACATGACACCAGATTTTACAAACTCTGTCACATGTCCAGTGAGTCCTGAAGAAGCGTTAACCCAAGGTGATGCGGATGATAAACTCTATCCAACATACATGTCAAAAGAAAACAAAAACCCTCTTTGCACACGTTGAGTAAATTCATATATGCTTTCCTTAAGAGGGAAGGAAAAATGCCAAAAATATTCATAATTATCCCAAAATAATGGAACAGAATCCTTAATGAAAACTACCCAGTTCAGTTTCTTCTCCGATCCTCTAAGTGCTTAACCAGTTGCCCGTCACACAATGTCTGCCACTTCACCTGTGCTGTCTAGCCTCACATAGCAGGAATCAACATGTTTGTGATGGATTCAGGAAGGTTAGGAATACACGTATGGTCAAAATTTTAATTCTGTTGTTCCCTTTGCCAAGAATTCCTTTGTTTTCTTATTATATATTCAAATTCTTTAAATTCAATCTTAAGCCCATCTCCTCCAAAGAGGCTTTCCCCACGCTGGAAGGAATTCCTTTTTTCCTCTGCACTCCAGGAGCACCGTGGCCATGCCTTCCCTGCAGCACTTCTCACTGTTTCCCTGCATTAGAAATCCCAGAGCAGGTCTTATTTCCCCAGGGCAAATAAGGGCAGGGGCTTAATTCATTTTAGAACCCTATTGGTGCCTTGAATTCATTCAACAAACATTTCTTGAACCCAATAAGCACCAGTGTAAAAGCTATCTTTAATATTTCAAAAAAGCCTCGGGCCGGCCCCGTGGCTTAGCGGTTAAGTGCACGCACTCTGCTGCTGGCGGCCCGGGTTCGGATCCCGGGCGTGCTCCGACTCACTGCTTCTCCGGCCATGCTGGGGCCGCGTCCCACATACAGCAACTAGAAGGATGTGCAGCTATGACATACAACTATGTACTGGGGCTTTCGGGGAAAAAAAAAAAAAAAAAAAAAAAAAAAAAAAAAAAAAAAAAGCCTAACTTTACCAGTGATAAGGGGCCACAGGCCAACTAAAACAACATCTTTGCTTCTGGCTGAAATTACATCAACTCAGCATAGTAATCAGACTAAAAATAAATGGATAAATAAATATAGTCTGTCTAATAAGCAAACATCTCTTAAACTGGAGCCTCTCGGCACGCACTCTGGTGTATCAGAAGAGTGACATAATATGGGCTTTGGAATGTGGCTTTTATTCCAGAGTTGCAATACTGGTTGCTCCACTGAATCAAGTGAATTATGACTGACTTGAGACTTTAGAACAGATACTTAACCCAAGTCTCACTTTCCTCATTTATAAATTATGGATAACATCACTGACCTCACAGGGCTACCCGAACAATCGAAGGAAATCACTCAAAGTGCCTATTACCCTGTCCTTCCTCTGTACTAATTTAGTATTAATGTTTAATGTCTATTATAGTTTCCTTTTCCAGTGTCTGCATTTTAAACAGGACAAACACCTCACATTTCAAGAAAATAACAAATCTTGCATTTGATTCTGCCTGGAGATCGAAGGTACAGCACACATACAGTGCATAATAATCTTTGTAGAGCAGGACTGGTTTTAGTTGCAGACAGCTTCTCAGGGAACACAGATGTACCTGCCTGTGAAGGAGCTCAGACAGAGCCTGGGCTCTCTCTACTGACAGTACCCACGGAAACAATGATCAGAGATTTCATTTTCTTTCTGAACACAGGAAAAAGATGCTATTTTATGCATAACCACTAACATATTCAAAACTCTAACGGGAGGTTCTTAAATACAAAAGAAACTTTTAAACTCTACTTTCGACTTTACTGTCAAGCTTCATGAGAACTATAAAACTCATGTACTATAAAATTTTGTATCTCCCATGACACTTTGCGGATAGTAAGAACTCAATAAATATCTACTTAAACAAACTAACCTGTAATTTTGTATTGTTGCCTTCTATTGAATTCCACAATTCACATACTTGTTGATACCGATGTATGTTACCTATGAATGTCTAATGAGAAATCTAAGAATGAACAAATCTGGCCTCAGGGACTCAGCTCAGTCGACCAACGAAAACAGAATCCTAAATAGGTTACCAAGAAGGTAAACAAACACAATGATATAAACGCAGGCATGAATGTACTACCAAGGCTCACTACATTAAACCACTAAGTACTCACAGAGGCAAAGGTGCCGATCTGTTTGATATTCTGTTCGTAGCTCTGTGAGCTGGTGGGACGGCCGGGGGTTCTCCTGGAGTACCAAAAAGTGTAGTTGTACTGCAGGGGATGCTCTGCTGGTCCAGGGACAACAGCCTGTGAATTAAAGAACGTGTGTTAACCTGGGCATTTTCCACGTGCTCTGAGACTGAGAATACACGTTACAGTCTCCCTCCTTACCACCTCCACAATTAAAAAGGACATATCGTCAATTATCTGCAATGTGCCTGAGATTCCGCTTACACAGTAAACATCTTTAGCAGTTAACTGATTCTAAGTTCCTACAACATTTTATCTGTGTTCTAATGGCTTCTCTAACTTTCTACCTCCTGTCATAGGTATTTATGTTTGTATCTTATCTCAACATATTCCCAGGCCAAGTACTGCCTCCTCTGTGACACTATCACTCACTGGCTAGTGGCCTTGAGCAAGTGGCTTAACCTATTTGTCCCTCAGCCGCTTATCTGCAAAATGGGGGAAATAATAACCCTCTCACAGGGTTGCCGAGAGGATCAATCACTTAATAGATGTAAAGTGCTTAGCAGAGTGCCTGGCACACAGTGAGAGCTCAATAAATGTCAGCTACGATTATTAGTGCCACTAGTACGTGTAAGCTCCTTGATCCACCTTTGTGTCCTCTTCGCACCTAAATTGCTTGCGTTTAGAGGGTACTCAATATTGTGGAATAAATGAATTAATGACTTCTTTGATATTTCAAGAAAGAAGTTGATCCATCTATCTCTTATTCTCTAAATTTTCTCTTTTCCAAGTCTTCTTCAGCTCAGACTATTACTGACTGAAGAGTCTAAAATGTCAAGGGATGTGCAGGATTTGAAATACCCAGCAGCAGCTTTTGAAGCAACTAACGGCTTTGTTACACTCCAGGGTTAATCCCCCCACCTCAGGCTAGGAGAATGCTGGAAAGCAAGGCAGCATCTCTCAAGATCCTGTGGCAAGGGAAAAGTTCTAAGTCCCAAAATGAACTCCAGTGATTCAACAATCTCTTTCTGAGAGCAAAATCAGATATTCCAAACCAGGGTGCCATCAAGATAATCAGGTATCTTCCAGATAAACAAACAGATTCCACAAGATAACCAAGTCTCAAGTTCAAAGGCAACTACACCTGAGCAGCACAAAACCCACCTTCCTCTTGCTGCTGCCCTGACTCTTGTCTCGTTCCGTTTTTTCCTTCTCACCATCTTTCTGTGTGCTGTTTTCTTCATTCTGATCATGGTCCCCACTGTCATCATCTTTCAATCTGAATGGGAAGGCAAAACAACGTTATCCCATGACCGAGCTGATTCTTGCTTACCTAACAAAGCTACCGGGTCAAACAAACACCACGTAACCAACCCGAAGTCACTCAAAATACAGGCAATGAGATGCACTTGAGATGAGAGAAGGGCAAGGGAATGTAGAAAGGCAATTAGGAGGATTAAACAAAAATGAAATGCCCAGCGGCTAACTTGTCAATTCCAGAAAGCGCTGTCTTCCAGTTTCTAACAGGCAGCGCAAAGAAGCAAGATGTAAACAGTTTAAGGGATTGTTTTCTTTGCCAAAAATAGTCAATAATGAGAAGAGTTTCTGGATTAATTAACTGCTTTGGCATTTCAAATGAAGTTTAAAAACTTCCCTATCTTCCCTGCACTTCTTCCAACCATCTCTCCTAGCCTTCCCCACTGCTACTGTTTCAGTCCAGGTCCTCTTCTCCTGCCACTTCGATTATTACAATAAATGCCTAAATGGCCTTCCTGACAGAAATCATCTCCACCCTCCATATGGCCACCAGCTTGATCTTCCTAAATGCAAATTTGATCATTTAATTTCCATGCTTAAAACTCTCAACTGTCCCTTGCCCTTTGACGCACATCCTGCAGGATCAAGTACACCGAAATGTAAGATCCTCTAGCATCTGACTCCTGCCTACTGACATCCTCTTTCCCTCCCTCCATCTCCCAAAGCAAGCTATATACCCACATCTGTGCTGTTTGCAAACACTATCCCTCAGCCTAAGGTGCCGTTGGTTTTTCCCACTAGATGGAGGGATCCTTTAGAACCGTCTTATTAAGCTTTGTATCTCAGCACCTAGGACAAGAAAATGCTGCCCTAACCGTAGCACAAGAAGATGTCTAATCACATTAAATGAAAAGAAAAAGAAACGACTGAAAGAAGGCATGAACGTCTTCTTGCCTTCTAAGTCCAGTCAAGTGTACTTTAGGTTCTACCCTTTTAGAAGCAGTGCAATTACCCAAAGGCTTTCAGGTGCCCCTAAAGCTCTCTAGATTCCGACAAAAAGATAAATGGTAGGTGAGTTCACAAAGACAGGAAGAATGCTGGTTAGTCCGGAGCTGGACCATTAACTTATCATGGATATTTTCTGAAATCACCTTTCTGGCTTTAATGACTATCCAGTCAAATGGAATAATGCAATTCTCAGGAAAGGTCCTAGAAATGGTCAAATTATAACTCAGAGATTACCCTATATAGATACAGAAACACGTTGTGAAGTATTTTGTATTTTGTTTTTTTGCCCATGAATCCCCACTGCCCAGCACGTAAAAAATCACTCAATGATATCAGGAGGGATGAGCTAGCTGTGTGTTGGGGGCCCGCTCAGCCCACGTCACACCCTAGTGGTAGGATGTACTCAGGTGATCGTGCACTGTGCCATGAGCATCCCCATCTCCACCCTGGCCAAGACATGACTACGAAGGGCACCTGACCAAAGGGCAGTCCAGTCTGGCCAAAATCCACACCTCAGGGCCTTGCTCAAAATGATGAGCATATTCCTCTCTCAGTTCTTCATCCAGGAGATGAACGATCACACAGATTCAGGAGCTGGGGCAGTCCCACGGGCCACGAGGGAATAAAGACAATGAGCAAAAGCAGAGAAAGCCAGCAGGGGCGAAGGCAATGGAGCAGATGAGCAGAGTGGAGAGGAGAGTGGTTTTGTCTGTGATGCTCCATCTCATCGGCTTAGTTCAGCCTCCCTGGACTTCTGGGAGACCAGTATCTGTGCTTACAATACCCTTTCCCCTTTATTAAGCTTGAGTTGGTTTGGTTTCCTTTTAAAAAAGAGCCTGTCTGGCATGCAGGTACAACATTTACCAAGCACCCACTGCGTGTATCAAATACTACAGAGTGCCTGTCCCCAAGGACCTGACCGAGGAGGTAAGGTACACGCACTCAGGCCTTAGCCTAGTACAAAGGCCCCTGCTCTGCCTACATGTGCCAATATCATCTCCTGCCTGGTCCCAACAAACTCCTTTCCCTCAAGTGGTATCAGCCTACTTGCAGTTCCCAGACATCAACCCTCTGTTATGCTCATCACATGGTCTCTCCCTGGAGAGCCCCTCTTCCCCTACTTAACTGTCATTTAGGACTCAGATTGGGGGCCACTTTCTCTTAGGAAATATTTCTATTTCCTAATCTCGCCCTAGGCTAAGTCAGGCTCCCCCTTTCTGAACCTCCAAATATACATGTTTGTACTTGTCCCAGCTCTACTTCCACGGCCAGTTTCTGGTCTCCGATCACGAACACCGCACAGGTTACTGCCTAAGCCCAAGGCAGCTCTTAACTCTCTTCTTTAGGGCATACCCCAAGGACTCAAACCATTTCCCTCTCTTCTCAGCTCCCAACCCCCACTATATCCTTGGGGGCCCTTCCCTTTAAATCTTGAAGAGGAGCACAGTCAGCCCAGCATCTTTCACTTTGCTAGCCCCAAGCAAAGTATATAAGTGCCTTTCTTTTTTAGTGGTTTTGCTGTTAATTACTACTAGGAAACAGAAAAAGAATAACAAAAATAATTATGTCAGAGAAAAACAATGCTACTGCGATCCCTGGACCACACTTCCAGACTCCCTTCTAAGACAGTAAATGGAAACCTTGATGGACCTTCATCTTGTGCTGTTATTTCTTGAGGGTGGAGCTAACCAACTATTCTGCCTTTGGAACCTACACTTAAGTCATTTGCATCCTATCTTCCAGAAGCTACTCTTCCCAGCTTGAAGCTGGTTTTGAGCCAAGATACAATCAAGACTGAAAAATCAGTGTTCCAGAGACTCAGGGGACCAATTAGCATCTCTGAGACTGTCCAGACCGAGCAACCGAGTGGCACATAACTAGCTCGCCAAGCTTCTGCCCAGGTATGTCCTCATACTCTCTGACTAGACCTATTCCTTGCGGGTAGGAACTTGGTCTAATTCATCTTTACATGTCCAGCATCAGACAGTGGCAGAAAACTAACACGTTTAATGAATGGATTTCTAAAATCAAAGCAATACAAGGCAGAATAGAATGAGTGCCAAATAAGTGGTTCAGACAATAGTTAAGAATGGGCCAAAAGCTAACAAAGACAGAACAGGGACAAAATCAAGTATGGTATCCAGATCTGAAAACCAAGCTTACCACAGTTGGTACTACAGTAGTGAAAGCATCTTAGGATTTCACATATAAACAGGATCAATGGTAACGGTAGCTAACGACTTGACAGATGTGTGGGGCGGGGAGCAATTACAGTCTTAGGTTTCATTTACAGAAGTCTATCTCACACAGTAAAGGAGGCTAGAGGTCCTCTTTTATCCCAGCCCATCAGATTAGACTCCAGTACTCAATTACAGGCAGTTAGGATTCTGGCAAACTGGAACATGTCCTTAGGAGCCACGTGGTGAAGAGTGCAGAAGCCAAATACATAACAATGGTCTGCAAACTGCAGATGCTTTGCATAAAAAACAAAAACAAAACTAGGGGCAGGAGTGCTGTCTTCAATTGTTAATTTCAAATAAAAGAAAGCTTTGGTTTTTTCCTGCATAGCTAGAAGTCAGATGTTAAAGAATTCTGGCTCAGCATAAGGAACAGTTAATAATTAGAACTAATTAAAAATGACCAGGTTAATTTTTGTCAAGAGGTGCTTGAACCAAGGTTAAACAACAAACCTGGGTTTGAATCCCATCATATGACCCTTCCTGTTGTTGTGGGTGTTACTTAACCTCAGAGAGTCTCATTTCTCTTAACTGCAAAAGGAGGTAAAAAGATCCCCTTTGCAGGGTTATTAGAAGGAGCAGAAATAATATATGACAAGTATCTAGTAAGATGCTGTGGAAGCCATTATTACCATTCTTAAATTAGCTTACTGCGCACCTCCAAATGGTCTGGGTAGGACTGGGCCAGATAACCCATGAAGTGTCTTCTTAAAACGAAATTTTGATTTGTTCAGTTCAGTGGAAGAAGGGGTACCAGGTTGGTGGAAAGCTCCACCCAGGTGGACCTTAGATCTGGAGCTAGGTGTTGCAGGATTTGTGACGGGGGAGGAGGTTAGTATAGGGATAGGTTCAGCTAAGCAGCAGGCTCCAGAAGGGCTCTGCCAAAGATTTTTTTCAAGTAGCAGAGCCCTCTCAGCAACCAGGAAACATTCCTGAGGAGCTGCCTGGAGTGTTGGAATCCAAGACCCCTGAATTTGCACACCACCACTCACTGTACCATAAAAAAAAACAATTTCCCATCAGCAGCAGCAGGTCACAACCTAAACTAATATAGTAATCCCACTTTACATTTATACCTCGCTATTTACCAATTTACAAAGTACCTTTAAGCATTGCTGAACGTGATCTGATTACTCCCCGAGCCAGCAGCAGGGGTCTGGGTAACAAGGGCTCAGAGACTGGGTAACTTTTCTGCTGTCAGGTAACTGGTAACTGGTGGGTTTGGGACTGGAAATCTAGGTCTTTGGAAGAGAAGACAGATTTACTAGACTGCTAGAAGAGAGCTAAGAATATAATCTACCTCAAGATACAATCGCTAGAGGGAAATATGCAAAAATACTGTGCATTTTCTTTCTGCACCTCCCAATTGTTTGATGCTGGGACTAGTCATCAGAAAGGGTGCAGAGAAAAGTGCAGAAGGGGGCAATGACAAGTACGGGTCGGGCAGGAAACTGAGCAGCTCTTGGAGAGGGTGCTGGAAGGGAAAACGAGGGGGAGGAGAAAGGAAGCAGGAAGGAGTCTCAGGAAGACGCTGACAATTCCGTAACCGAGCCGCCGCTGTGCGGAGCGCAGCAGCCAGATTCCCTCACTGCATCTTCACAACTCTACGAGACGGGCTCTGTGACCGTCCCCACCTTGCAGAGGAGAAAACTGAGACTCAGAGAGGAGAGGGGACCTGCCCGGGGCCAGGACGAGCGTGCGAGGAGAGCTGGTCACAAGCAGGGCGGCCAGGCTGCAGAAACCCCAAACCGCTCAGGTCTCCGCCCCTCCACGCCGCTGGCCACCCGCACTCGCCGGGGCGGGGCGTCCGAAAATTTCGGGGCGGCACGGCCACCTCTCCCCCGGCCGCCGCGCTTCGCCCTCGGTCCGGTCGGCCTGGGGTCCCCAGGACCCCTGCACGCCGCCTCCCCAGCCCCCTCCTCCCAGCTGGCCGCCGGGGCCGGGGCCGGCGCGCAGCCCAGGCCCAGGAGGGCGGCCGGGGCCGCAGAGTGTGCGCCGCCGCGGGCCCTGGCGGGGGCGAGCGCGGGAAACGGTTGGGGGAAGAGGCCCCGGGGATAGCCATGCGCCACTCACGCGTCGAACTTGTTGTTCATCCTCTCGCCGCCGCCGTCGCCACTGCCTCACGGAGTGACTTCCGCTCCGCTGGGTCCCTCCGCCTAGGGCCCGGCCACTTCCGCTTGCGCGGGGCGCGGCGGAACGTCGGCGCGCGGGCCTGGTCGGGGGCGGGTATCCCGGGACACCTGCCCAGGGCGGCTGCGCGGAGGCAGCCCGGGCTTGGTGGCTGCCCGGCTGCCGGCGTCAACCGTGTCCTCGTTTCTGTTGCTGTCGGCCGCCCGCCTGCCCGGTGGCTCCAAGGTAGCACTCCCCGCCCCCGGGAGCGCGTCCTGACGCTGTCCCGCGGCGGGCTCTGGGCTCACTGCTTGGGACAGATCCCGACTCGGCCCCCGGTGCGGGCTGCACGATCCCGGACTGTCAGCCTCCCGAGGCTGTTTGCTCCTGGGTACTGGCGATGCTGTGCTGTAGCACCTGCCTCTTCAGGTTGCCGTGTGGATTGAACGAGATCATCAGTCAGGCGCTAGACACACAACCCTCAGTAAGTGGTAGCCCTTGTGAATCTTTGCTTCCTTGTGCCAGGGGCTACAGGGCTAATCTCCGCCCTCTGAGGCAGGCACAAGGGTTGACGGACTCCCCCCGCAGTGACAAAGCTGGTAAGAGGCTTACAGGAACCAGAGATGGTCCCACCATCATCAGATCGCCTCCCGGATCTGGATCCAAGTCCCTGCTGCAAATACACACACACACACATACACCCTCGCTGGAATAAAGGAAATGAACCTGCTGGTAGATCAGCCCTAAAGCCAGCGACCCTGTACGTGGGGAAGGGGCTATTTTCCGGATCCTCTCCCCTCTCCCCACCAAAGTCCCATTGTCATGTCTTTGTGTGGCACTTTGACATTTTTGAATCATCTCCATCTGCCCCTTTGATCCTGTGATGAGGGTAGATAGGAACTGATATCTGTGCCCATATTTACAGATGAGGAAACAGAGGCTCGAGGAGCACAGATGACTTGCCTAAGTTGTCTTGTCACCAACAGAACTCAGGCCCCAGAGGTACTCTCAAAGCAGGGCCTTACCTCTCCCAGGAGGACCTCAGCTGACCCTCTTGTTTCCTAAGTGGGGCCCAGGGAGGCTGGTCAGGGTCTCCTCCTGGGAGGCAGAGCCCGGGATTACCTGTTACATACCAGCCTCCCTGCCTAGCTCTTCCTTGTCTTAACTATCCTTTAGGACCAGTGCACATACCCTGGCCTTTGAGAAGAGAAGGAAGAGGGGTCCATTTTCCAAGCCATAGAATTTTTTAGGGTGTCTAAGATTGAGTCAGAATTGGGAATTCTGGACTCCAAATCTTATTTAGCCCCCAGTGTTCTGGGAAGCCCCTCTTACCTGGAGCCCCAATTTGCCAATCTGAAACATGAGGGAATAGTGACTCTTGATTATCCATGATAAGATAAGGTCTTATCTTAACAATGAGAAAAGATCATAAAACTCATGAAATCTTTTGTGATTAGTGACAAAAATGCATGTGAATGGAAAGGTCACCGGAACAGGTGAGTATTGGGTGCTTACAGCACCTGGAAGGCAGGGGAGGGAGATGCCAGCTGGAGTGGGCTGCTGCTCTTTCAAGAGAGCGTTGGCTGCCACTCTTCACATCTCTCTTGACTTCCCTCCTTCAGGAGTCTGTGGGAAACTCATATAAAGGGAAGAGAGGCCCAGGCCCAGAGGGAAGGACCTCGCCTAGTTGGGGACAATATACGAAACAGAGTCCTTAGGGCTTCACAAATGATGAGGGTGATGATGCTTTACTGAAGTGAGGGGAGTGCCAGGACTAGGTAGCCAATGTCACGTGGATGCTGACCCCCCGCACACCCTGCCCCCAGCCCATCACCAACCACTCTGGGACTCCTGCTCTGTCTCTTTATTTCCCAGCTTTTCTCAGGGCCAGTTGGCTCACATGGCCTTGGAGGATGCTTCCCAAGAGCACACGCATGACCTCAGCAGCAGCAGAAAACAGCTGAGAAGACTCCACACGGCCAGCCGCAGTTGGTTGGCTCAATCATGGGGTGAGGGCAGGTAGGAGCGGGGGTCTCCAGGGAACGGCAGGGCGGGCACCTGGTTGTAGTGGGCCATGAGGAAGATGCCAGTGGTGCCACAGACGAAGAGCGAGAGCATGGCCAGGAAGCAGACACGGTCCAGCACACGGCCCACCAGGAACCACTCCTCGTTCCCCTGAGGGTGGGAGGCAGGGTGTGGGGTGACCAGCGGTAACACCAAGCCTGCCCTGGATCCCTGTACCATCCTTGGCCATCCAGCAGGCCTCGGTTCTCTGTTTGCTTGGGCCCTTCTCACCTACTTCCACACCTCACCTCGCTCCTTCCACTTGGCCCTGATGCCCCTCCCCATCCCCACTCCCAACTCCACTTTTTCAATCCCATTGCACTACCATGGCCACCCCACTCATTCTGTCCGCATTGCAGGACCACGTCCCTTGCCAGGTACTCCACCCCACACCCCGCCCCTGGACTGGCTTACACTGTCAAAGTGGCTCTGCTGGCGCCGGGCGCGGGCAATGAGGTTGCAGGCTTCCACGCAGGCCTGGATGGCTGGGGCGGCCTGCTTCAGGCTGCCACACCACTCCTGGCTCTGCCCTGGCTCCGGGCCTTTCTCTGGTGAGGAGAGAGGGTAAGGTTTGGGGGTGGAATGGAGGAGAAACAGTCTGAGAATGTGACCTCTCCTTAGAGACCCCAGTCCTCCATCCTGGACACTTGCCCAACACTCATTTGCTGTGCCTGACACTTTGGCCAACAGACAGCCCTCCCCGTTTGGAGTCCCTGGGCAGGAGCGTCCCAGTGTTACGCTCCCCGCCTCACCTAGCTTCTCCAGTGCTGCCCTCACCAGCCCGTTGCGCTGCCGCTGCCGGAAGAGGAGTTCACTGCGGGGCAGGCAGAGGGCCACCTCCTCCCCCGCTGTGACTGTCCACCCCGAGGAGGGGCCGTTCTGTAGCCGGGGCCGGGCGTCCTGCACAGCTGCCGGGGCCAGCGGGCGAACATGCATCCGCAACAGCTGGGGCAGGAGCTGCAGGAACACCTGGAGAGGGACGCCCTGGGTGGCTTAGCTCAGCAGCCAGCAGACCTGGGCGTTTGGGCAGCCAGGCTGGGCCTCGGAGCAGAAGGAGAAGGTTGGTACAAAGGGCTCATGCTGCTGGGGGCCCGGAGGCAGCTCGTTAGGGACAGTGGCTTGACCCCAAACTTCTGTGCACGTCAGAATCTCCAGGGCACTTGTTACAAACAGGTTCCTGGGCCCCACCCCTGCTATTCTGGCCCAGGAGGCCTGGGGCGGGCCTGGGAATCTGCATTTGTAACAGGGCCCCAGCTGACAGCTGCACATGGGCTGCAGATCACACAGACTCTGGAGCCTGACTGTCTGGACAGAAGCCTGCCTCCTCCACTTTCTAGCCATGCAACCTTGGGTAAGCTATTTAACGTCTCTGTGCCTCAGTTTCCTCATCTGTAAAATGGAGATGATAGTAATTCCCACTTCATAGTGATTTTATGAAGATTAAATGAGTTAGCATGCGTAGTACACCTGCCACGTAGTAAGCACTCGATACTGTTATTAGTCCATTTGGGTGCATGCTTCAGTACACACAGGGCAGGTTTGCTGCTGAATGTGGCAGGTGAGTAATATGCCTACAGACAGGGGTGCAGAGGAAGGTGCACGTGAGTGGACCGGGCAGGAGGATGCTAGAGTGGGCAGGCAGGGGCCTTGCCTTGCGGACCCTGTGGGCCATGGAATGCGTGTGTGGGGACCGCAAGGACACGTTGAGCACGACCACAGCATTCACGACGATGAGGATGGTCACCACCAGGAGGAAGGTCAGGTACCTGCCGGGGTGGGTGGACAGGAGGTGGGGCTGACCCTTCGGCACCCCTTCCCCAGCTGCCACCCCACCCTTAGCAGCTGCTCCCCCCAGATCCCTTGGGGTGAGGGACTGGCGTTGAGGATGGTGGAGGTGGGAGCGGCAGGAGGGCAGTGCCTGGAGTTCCCGAGAAGGGAGAGGAGGAGACGGGCGGCAGGCATGAGGGCCGGCCTTACTTGCTGATGAGGGGCACCGCCTGGGAGGTCTCGGGCACCTTCTTGGCCACGAGGAAGAGGAAGACAGTCTGGGCCAGGAGCACGTTGATGGCAACGGTACACTTCTGGCCACCGGCTGCACGTGACCGAGAGGCCATCAGAGCAGGTCTCAGCCTCCCCGCCGTGGGACTTACTCCCTGCCCCCCAAGGAGCCCAGTGTCCCTGGTCCTGGGTGATGGTGCCACCCTGTGCTCTCCCAGCTACCCCCTGTGCTGCCGGCTGGGGCCATGGCTCCCCTCCCACAGTCTCCAGGTACCCTTGGCAGGAAGGAAGTAGATGAGGATGGCAACGGAAGAGATGAGCACGCAGGGCGCGATGATGTTGATGACATAGAATAGGGGCTTGCGCTGGATGAGCAGGTAGAAGACCACCTTCTGGTGGCCCGCCTCCTCGGCCGGCACTGCCACCTCGTCCAGCAGCATCTTGGCCGGCCGGTGCCGGATGGCCCACTCCCCATTCTCTGTGGGCAGCACGCCAGGGTGGGCACAGGGAGCGTGGGCAGGGCATATCCCTGCAGCCCACATGACCCAGCTGCGGGGCGGCCGACATATGCCCGAAGGAGCACCATGGAGGGAGAGACGCAGCGGGGAAGACTGGCTACTTGATTCCCCCCTCCCTCAAAACTGGAGTAATTATCATGAGGAAAATCAGAACTTTGTTGGGCCCTTAAAAGAACATATTTTATGGTTGACAGTAGTTTTCATCTGAGTTACATGGGAGGGGGCAAGATCTTGGTCTGGCCCTGCCCTCACAGCCAGGTCCAGCAAGGGCCCTGGGTGGAGGTTACCTGTGAAGGCCTCAGGGTCAATGAAAATCCACTCAATGGTCTGACCATCTTCCTGGCTCAGGTGCAAATTGATCTCATTGGTGCTGTAGGTCTGGGACCTGGGAGATGGGGAGGGAAAGAGGATAAATCCGAGAGTGTGTAGACCCACCTGTGAGGTCACAGAGACGGTCATCTGAGGGTGACTGTGAGCAGTTTTGCT